AAAATCATATACTAGGAGTGCCCAGACTCTGTCCTGGTGCTTTGTGCTAACACTAACTTACTAACTTTCATATCGGGAAACTTTTTTAATAATAGTTTGTTAAAAAATAAATACAGTTAAATTAAACTTAAGCCGCATACTAAATTTCCTGAAGGACCGGGAGCGCGGTATACTTCACATACGATACATACAATAGTTTTGAACCCTTCGCGTACATGATACCCAACACAATGTATTTTTTAAAACTAATTTAAAAAATTTTTTAGTGCACCCTCAGAGAAACCCAGGCTCCCCCTTTCATAGTTTTTTGACGTTCAAGAAGTATTGGAATTTGGATTTGGGTGAAGGGAGAGTGAGGAGACCCTCAGATAATTCTTGTGCGCAAGGAAGACTAGAATGCAGAGTTTGATTCACGAACTTGCCTTCTTCTGAGTCTAATCTTTACAATATCGTCTTTGCTATCCTAAAAATTTACCAAAGTGATACATGGCCGGTTCTAGAAAGATGACTCTTAAGAGTGGTATAAGAGCGGTATTAGCTAATACCACTCTTATACCACTCATAACGCTAATACCAGTGTTTAGGAAATTCGGATTCTTTAGACGCTAATGCTGCCTAATTCGGGGTAGGATTATCTAGCATAGAACAGCTGAAGAGTTCTTTAGTCATCCTAGCTAATACCGGTTTTATCATCCATTCTATAGAAATTTTCCTGTAATGCGCATGCTCGAGCACTTAATTTTTTAAATAATTGAAGACGACTTTTAATGATATATTCTTTATTTACGATAAAAGATTAATAATTCATGCAAGTATTTAATAATCAATTATATTTTTTGTGGACCTCATCACGTGACCCCAAGGAAGGTTTATGAATGATTAAAATTTAAAAAAACTTGTGTTTAAAATTTTTAAAATTTTTTTTATAAAATTTTGAATGCGTGAAAAAAATATTATGAAATCCGCGAATTTTTTTTATTTGTACAATTGAGAAGATACTCGCAGATAATAAAAGTTGAGAAGATAGGCGCGAAGCGCCCTAAAAGTCGATATAAGAATTATTTTAAGTTTATCTCAAGTTTTTTTTAATATTCAAAATATCATTTACAAGTAGAACCCACCTTTAAATATAGAGGGAGGAGGGGGGGGCTTATAAAATTGTTTTCCATTCTAAAAGTAATCATTCGTTTTTTATGTATCCCTGTATTTGATGCATCCCTGTAATTCATAAGCTTTCTTTTCTCAGAAATTTACCCAAACCAAACTAATACTGGTATATACGGTAGATTATCCTACCTAAATCCACCCTGCGGCTGGATTTAGGTAACACCACTCTTTGTAATACCGGTATCATGCATAATACCAGTATTTACACTTCTAAAGAACGCGTAAGGTAGATGATCTACCCTTAATACCACCAAGCAAGATTTGTAAAGAGTGGTATTTAGGTCTCTAGAACCCGGCTACATACAAGCCAGAGCCCCCGGAGGGAGGGAAGTTGAGAGTTCCTCAAATAGTAATCACCGCCACCCAAATCTGTTTTGCGGCAAGCGCGCTCCTCAATTGATAATCTCCACCACCTCAATTAGTAATCACCGTAAAATTTTGTTTTCTGTGAATTGAATTTAATGCACTTTTAACACAATTTTCGACATCTATCGGGGTTTTATGGCATCTGTATTGACTTAAACTAAATTTTCAAATTATTTTCAGATTTGTTTGGTCAACAAAAACTGGGAATCTAGGCACAGTTCATTTTAGCCGAATCTTAGATCCAATTCGCCACTTAAATGACTGCATTTCATGATTGGCGTCAAGATACAAAAAAGGTCGGGCTGCCTGTTTACTAAAAATTATCTCATCCCACCCAAAGTAATATCCATCTCCATTTAAAAGATATTTTCATAAAACCTTTACAGTGTTTAGATTTTTGTATTCGCCTACTCGAGTTCAACATCTACAACAAAACTAATTATATGCATAGAAAGAACATAAAATTTTGGAAAATTAGTCTCATCACACCCACTACAGAAAATGAAGTATTTAGTCCACTAATAATGGGTTAAAGTTTCCTCTCTATATAAGGAGTTTAAAACAACATTCAGAGGAAAATGCCGCAAATATTCTTAAAGCGAAACTTAGTGTGGCATATTTATTGATTTATTTTCGAAACTAAGGAGCAATAAAGAAAGCTTTAACAATATTGTACACCATAGGGCCATTAAAAGAGGTCAATATGGTCTTATTTCTAAGAAATAAACGATTTAATTTTATGCTTTTTTGGGCTGATTACTATTTGAGGTGGTGGAGATTACCAATTGAGGAGCGCGCTTGCCGCAATATCAGATTTGGGTGGCGGTGATTACTATTTGAGGAACTCTGGACTCCCTCCCTCGCCCCCGTTTTCTCTAAAGATTTTGCATTTCCAATTCAAAGGATCCTTAAATATCCCTAAATACAGATGTCTCCTGATTGGTCCTGTACAGTCCTTGTACACAATATACCATGCTGTGGAAAATATCGCATATTATAGGTGTTAATCGATCTCTGTAACTCTCTTATCTATGGTTTTTAATGAGGGGGCGGAAACGTGATGTGTGTGTGTATACCAAAAGAGTGTGTGTAAGGAATACCGAACCGAAGGCGTGTACTGTAGTTGTATACAGTACATTAGAATCGATCGGTATGTTTACAGTCTAGGAGAGTACATTTGTTCATTGTAAATAGTTTAGTTGAAAATTAGTTTAATATACTATATTATTATTATCAGCTAAAAAATATGCGACATTTTCCACAGCATTTTTACGAAACCAAAATAATTTCAAAAGTTTTGACTTAGGTATAATAAAATGAGCAAAATATTTTTTCATCTAATCTAACACTTTGTTTAATCATACATAAGAATATTCATATTTTTGCATCCCTTATTATTATTGTTACGTTTGCAACAATAAAGATAACGACACTGTTATCTATTATTTTAAAGGTCAGAAACTATTCAATAGACGCTGAACCGATCTTCAAAATGATCAGGCACATTTTTTAAAAAAAAATATCGAAAAATATTTATTTGTAAATACTTTATAGATTTAAATCAATTAGGCTCAAGCAGATTTGCAGGTCATAAAGTTACATTTCATATAATCACTCTATTTTTACTTGATATGACATTTCCTGAACATTTCATGAATTTTTGCTATGATTATTACATTTTGTAGAACTAAACTTCAACTGGCCTGATTTGGAATAGGTTAGGTTAAAAAATGTCAGCAATTAAAATAAGCTATATTATAAAAAAATTGCTTATGTCTTCTCTTTTGAGGTTAAGATTTGATTATGATAATTTTTTTTTGGGCAAAGCGTAGTCCAAGTTGGTGGCTAGTCTTGCTGCAACCACCGAGTTTCCGGTTATTTATAAACAGGGCACATCAATAGCTAAATCTAAAGTTTTCTGCATAAATTAATGCATTGCCTGTGAAATTACTTGTGAAAATTCAAAATATTATTTTTGTCAACGTTATCGTTTTTAAATTAGTTATAAAAGTTGTTATGCAAATATTTAGTTATATAGCAAATTTAGATAAATGAAGTGAGTTAGATTTTACTGTTAAAATAATAAGTGCCGAGTTTGTATGAAATGTGACCGAGCGATGATACCAATAAAATATGATTATTTAATAAATATCAATTAATAAAAATCAATATGAATATTGTATAATTATAAAAATTATAGGCTCCCATGTCGATATGTTCTTACTGCATTGGGGTTTGTCGGATTCGTCTTCAATTATACACTAAGGTTTGATTTCTATGTACAGGGTGACGAATACAAAATCTTCTTTGTTAAGAATTACCTAATTGTAGAACGTCTGCAGTATATTTCATGTTAACAGTGAAAATATTTTTTTGTTGTTCTGCAAGACGAATTGTACGATGTGTTTGTAACATTTCTGTAAAAATAACAAAGAAGAAGAACTACTGTATTTTGTTTGTTTACTGTAATTTCTCCTTAAATCACCCAATTAAATCATAAACATACAAAGTCCTAACTCTAGCAGACGAAGATTACTGCTTTCCTGGTTGGCATCACCAAACTAAATCGAAAAATTATTAACGGGGACGTTAGTAAAATCGGTTCTTTTTAGGACACTGCATTATAAAAGATCGTGCTTAATATTGTGGCAAATGGAGAGTTTACAAGAAAGAATTCCATTTTTACTTAATTATCTTTTTATATTCATTTAGGATTAATATCAATCTTATCATAACATCGATGACAAAATCAAAAACTAATACTAATACTACTACTACAGAATTAGAGGTAGGAAATCTTTTTTGTTATTATTGTTTTATATTGTTCACAGATAGAGCCACATTTAAGCGCCTTTATAAAACTGATTTTTCGATTTCTTTGTCGCTGTATCATCTTTTAATTTTTAACAAAATGGTGAATTAGTTTCTCATTTGTGAATTATATCATTCTTATATTCTTTAGTAGATTAGATAGTTTCTGTTTTTGTTTATTTAATAAATCGTCCTCTTTTTCAGGAAAACTTGTTTGATTGGGACAACACAGCACAGACAATTATAATGAGTTCTTTTTACTGGGGATATGTAGTTTTCCAAATGCCAGGAGGGAGAATGGCGGAGATAATTGGTGGAAAAAAGGTGTTGTATAAGTATTTTTTTATGTCATGAATTTAACTCTAGAATGTTTGAGGATATCTGTATTTATGTATAGTAAAAGACCTCGGGACAAAGAATGGAGGCGTAAACATGGTTCAATTTTAATAAGCCGGCTATTTTTCGAGATCTTTTTTTACCTTTTTAAAGGTTGAGTGCTTCCTAGAATTAAAAAAATTGCAACAGTGTGTTTTGTATAATTCAAGTGTTAAATCAAAGAAACTTATTTGTTATATCACGATTTCTGATATTTCAATCCCCTATATCTTTGCAACCTAAGATTTTTGATATTTTAAGCTATGAAATCTGCAAGATTAAATATTAGGATCAAATTTTTTGATATATCATTGGTTTACACCATCACTTTGCAATGATATTGTTGCTTAAAAAAGTAGATATTGTTGCTACTGCTTACTTTCTATGACGGATCATGTTACAATTATTCTTAAGTTAATTTTCAATAGTTTTTCAATTATGCCTAGGAGCTCAGTTGTTTAAAAAGTTATGAGCTAAAATAATCTTTTCTCAACTAAATACGACAGAACAAAACTAAAGAGAGTTTGTCTAACGAATCCATCCTAGACTTTTCAGAGTAAAGGCAGAGGAAAACTTTAACAATTTACATTCCTTTATTTTGTAATTCATTAAACTTTAGTCTCGTTTCACTTTATTGGCATACTTTATAGGTGATAGGAGCTGCTCTAGGGTTAACCGCAGCTCTTACCCTTTTAATACCTGAAGCAGCAAAACTAGGAGGATTTTCAGCACAAGATTTTCCCTATTATCTTGTAGCAATCAGGTAGTGTTTACATTTCAAATTGCTCAATAACAGCGCAACACTTAATCTTCAGCTGGCTAACTTATCTGAACAAATTCAAAACTCATCTTGTTGCATGTCACATCAAAAAGTCGTATTGGTAGGAGATCAAATTAGAAGAATAATACAAATGTTGGCCATCATTACGCAAAGAAGAATAATACAAATGTTGGCCATCATTACGCAAAATAAGAAGAATAATACAAATGTTGGCCATCATTACGCAAAATAAGAAGAAAAATACAAATGTTGGCCATCATTACGCAAAATAAGAAGAATAATACAAATGTTGGCCATCATTACGCAAAATAAGAAGAATAATACAAATGTTGGCCATCATTAGGCAAAATAAGAAAAATAATACAAATGTTGGCCATCATTACGCAAAAACTTACCGCATGTCAAGCAATATTTGTGCATTTTCTAAAAGGGTATTTTTTATGATTAAAATGTTAACATATCTTTTATTATTATTAAAATTAATTTGTAAACCTTACAATTAGGTAAATACAATCTTTTTTAGTACATTATTAAGTTGTTTGGTTTTAGAGAAATCGAAAACCTTCTCGTTAAGTTATGTGGAAACGATTTTTAAACCATAACGATTTCTAGGTTTTTCTTTTTATTTGTCAGTGAAAGTATTCTAAACATGGATATTTTTTATCTTAAGATCTGTTTCGCAAAATTGCATAATTCCCAAATACTTCATTTGTATAAATAACTAAATTTTTTTTGGGGTAACTCGGTAGAACCATGGTAATATGTTCTTACCTTGGTTTACAAAAATGAGTTGAGTTGGTCGACTTTATTTTAGCGAAAGTCAATTTTCCAGGGAAAACTGGGTTCCCAATCTAGTTTTAAATCATAATACCTATTTAATATTAATCCGGTTGCCAATCAAAATAATACAATTTTACCCTAAATCCATATTTATTCAATACATAATTGAAAAGTCTTCCTCAAATTTAGCATATATTTTCATAAAAAAATTGTTTTTATTTCTTAGATATTTTATTTCCAAAATTTCTGTTTTATTATAACTATGATAAAAGTGTGTAAAATCAGTGTATCAGGGTTATTATGGGATTGTGTGAAGGGGTCACCTTCCCTGCTATGACAAGTATGATGGCCCGATGGGCTCCAGCCAGTGAAAGATCAAGAATGACATTCCTTGTAATGGCGGGAGGACAGGTATATCTTTCGATTATTTTTAAGTTTTTTTTTTTAAATTTAAATCTACTGTAAAAAAAGCAACTTTATTTTTATTATGTAAATTGTCATGTTTAGATCGGAACTATTGTTGGATTTTTTATATCCGGAATAATTGTTGATTATCTAGGATGGGAAGCTGCTTTTTATATTGAAGTAAGTAACAAAAAAATGATATTTTTCTTTAGAAAATCAGATTGCGTGTTTGTCACAAACTCTAATATTATAAGCTCTATATCTTTGCAACCCGATGTAGAAGACTTTAGATATTAATACCTTGCATTCTGTTTGATCCATCCGGTTGCAAAGATATTGGGATAATAAATTTGAGTTTGTGTCAAAGACTCAATTCCTTCGTCATCTCCCAACTATACAGAGTCAGTGCAAACGGTATCTTGTTTGTTCCATCAAAAAAATCAGTACTCGTACATGTTTAGATCTTTTGCAGCTGATGTATTTGTAGATCAAATTCAAATCTCTCCAATGCAAAACTGGCAAAAAATAATTAAACCAAAATTTCTTTTTAGGGAGATTTCTTTGTTTATATAGAATTTTATTTATCCAATAAAATTGCCTCTTGCACCGACTTGGGTCGCGGGTATGTACCTAAATACCTTCCCCATGGAAGTGGTGAGGGACACCCCTGTGTTGTTGATGCCTTCCATTTACATCCCACTAAAAAATAGTACAGGAAATTCATAACAGTCGAGCCAGTGCATGCAGATGTCCAAAAGTCCCAGGATTGTGACCATTCTGCTCACTGCACCAGAAAACTTCCTTTTTTCGCACGTCCTTATATCCAGGCACACTAAGATCGGATGCAGCCACTTCTGGGACTTCTGGACCACGAGCTCCAATAATTAGAATGTTAAGGTTATTGCTCAAGAGGGAGTGGATAGAAGGCCTCACAATGGTCAGGATATTCATAGACATTCCCGGGGCAAACATCATGATCCAATTCACTCACTTCACATACCGGGCTTAAGATGTTGTCAATGCCTGAGTCGATTTTAATGGACAAAGAAACCTTCTCAATAATAAAATTTTTGTTAAACTTTTTTCTCAGTTTTGGAGAGATTTTAATTTGGTATACTATACCGCATGCACATTGTACATAACAAAAGAACGAAAAAAAATTTACTTCGAAACTCATTCAAATGGCTTAATTCACTAATACTCTCTTTAAGGGAGGAGCTACATTTGTATGGTTAGCACTTTGGATATTCTTGATCTCAGACACCCCAGATACACATCCTTATATTTCTAAAGCGGAGTTAGAATATATAAAGAAAGAGCTACCAGCTACAAGAGAAAAAAGGTCGGCTTTCCAATAACTTTAAAGTATTTAATAAAATCAAATATTTTCCTGTTGCATTATAAACACTTTCAGCCTTCCAATACCATGGCGCTCTATGCTCACATCAATGCCGCTGTGGGCTATCTTTGTGGCAAATGTTGCAAACAATTGGGGCTTTCATCTACTCATGACAGAACTGCCACAAGTAATTCAATAATAATAATAAGACAACATTATTCTTTCTAGAAGTTAGAATGTTCTCATTTACGCATGTTTGCTTACTTCATTTACTCGAATTTTGAAATTAAACAACAACAATATTTATTATTTTATGGTGAATTTAGAATTCTATTCCGAAAACAGGCCACCGAGGTATTTTGATCGATCTGTGTCCGAATTTAATGAATTTGAGCCGCCGCCTAAATCTGCCAAAACCGGTTTCAATTGAGCGCCGGCATAAATCTTCAAAAATTGAATACAATTTTAAATGGAACCAACCATTGGAGCCGCGGCTTAAATTTAAGCCGCGGCTCAAATTCTTTAAATTTGGCTTCATATCTATAGTTATATTTTTCAATGAAAGAGTTGGATCATACAAAAATAAAAATTCAAATGAATATTGTTAGTCTTCGTTGTTTTTAGAAAATTAATCATTTCTTATTATTCAGTATTTGAAAGAAGTGTTTCCTGATTATATGGAAAAATCGTCTGTAATTGGTCTTTGGACAGCAATACCATACTTCAGGTTCAATACAATTTACAATCATAATCAAGTTAACTACTCTTTAGCTTTAATCTCCAACGCAGTAACAACTTATGGCTTAGAAACACTTACTAAAAAAGGGCAACTATTAAGAAATAACTATTTGTTGAATTTTAACAAAATACAAAATTAAAATTTTTATCTTATATTACACATAAATTCTAGTTTCAAAAGTTTGCACCACCAGGTTGCAAAGATATGGGGATAAGAACATTTTTTTTTGACAACAACTCAATTCCTTCATACCAAATCAAAATACAAATTGCCAAGGGATGCACTGCACCCGTTTATGTACGGACCACAAACTCAACTTATCGGTAGTGCGCTCACGAATCTATATTTTGCCCAGACGGCATATTTTTTTTTTAATCCAGCATTATTTATTTACTTATAAATCTACTTAAAATCTTCTTTGGAATAGAAAATGGTGTTCACAACAATTTTTTTTATTTACTCTTTAACTATAACTTTTTAGATCATAATGCGCGGGGTTTTTAGGATCTGCAATTTAGAATAAATGAATAAAATAAAATAAAATCTGGGGAACATGCCATTGGTAATGATTTACTTGAACAAATCAAAATGTCAATAAATGTTTTTACCCTCATTTAATGTTCAGGTTAAAAAATACAGGATAATGTAATCTAAACCATATAAATAGTGTCAATAGTGTCATTAGTCCTGACGTTACCAACATTTCATTTCATGCCAGCCCCCTTTATTACAGCGTAATGACCACATTTATAATAATTACATTTCTATGGTACGCTGTCTCATCTCTACTTTAAATATTGTTTGCGGTATTTTCTACCAACACATGGTATTTTTACACATACATATTTGACCCCAAATAGCAAAGTTTTTTTTTGTAGATATCTTTAACAGACATAAGAAATTACTTAACAGAAAAAAGTACGCTCCGGACTAAAATTTGGTGCGCTTCTGACAAAAATCAGAAGAAAACGTTGGACTTATCGGTATTCCTTTTTAGCATGTGGTTGTGTGGATTTGTTTTCTCATTTATCTGTGATTTTCTTATTAAATGGAACATTCTATCTGTTAAGAACTCAAGGTAATTATCAATTTTTCAATAGCTTTTTTTCATTTTCTGAACAAACCTTGGTTATTGATTTCATTATTTTATAATTATTTATAACAAAACTCTACTTACACTTCTTAAGATTTTGCGTAAATTTTGCTTTAATACATTATTTGATATTTAACATCATTACGTAATATAAATTTGGATTTTTGCAAGTTAGTTTTTTTGCCATATTATTGAGCATAAAAATATAAGAGGCTCCCTTCCCTAGGATATAAGAAGAGAGGTCAGTATGAAAAAGGGTTGACGTAAGATGAAACAGCATCATAATTTCTGCTTTTGTTGAAAAAGATTCCAAATAGCATTATTTTCTGTTAAGAAAACACTTGAACCCTTCTAGTTTGAGAACGTACACTTTCATGTATTTCCTTTTTGAAAAATAAATGACTTGTTAAAGATCCAATTTTAAATTATAAACAATTTAACATGATAAATGATTTTGAAAAAAAAGGCAAATGAGTTTTTGCCACTTACCAAAGTTGTAGTTTCTATATCTTTGCAACCTGATATCATTTAAACCTTTGATATTTCAAACTTAGACTATTTAATCTAGCAGTGCTTATAATTTGAAATATCTTAAAGGTTTCAAAGATATAGGGATAAGAAAATATGAGCTTGTGACAAAAACTCAATTCCTTTGAATAAAGATATACATCTCTAAACAATAGGAAATTGTTTAACACACTTTCTCAAACCGGTCCTGCAATATGCCTTCTCATCATTGTTCTTTCTGTATCAAACGAAGAGCCTAATCTAGAACTTACTTTGGTAAATATCAGGATGGAAGCAGATATAACAAGTTATAATACTAAAACTTTTTTATCTCATCTTTTTATTCTATGATCCAGAATTATTTGATTACGTTTTATATATATTCATAGATATATTAATTATATATAATCTTTTAATCTTTTTATATAAATATATAAGAAAAGATTAAGATTTAAAATCAAACGTAAGAAGACATTTGTTACATTTTACCAAATAGTATGTTTCCATAGATCATATATGCAGTGCTGTAAAAATTAACACAAAGTTAAAAAGATGTTTATTAGGGACTTTCTATCCAATAGAAATAATCCAAGATCTTTCAAATTTGAGGATACAATTAAGATGCTGGATAACATTTCATTTAATATTTACATTTCCAGTAACTGCATTTCTAGAAATTTTGTTTCGAGCAATCAACTTAAAAATGTATTACCTAGAACTTTGGGTTGGAAGAAAAATAATAATTTCTGTAAATTTAAGGCTGTATTCACGATTGGAGTATCTTTAGAAGGTGCTTTGTATTCAGGATTTATTACCAATCCTCAAGATATTGCCCCAAATTTTGCAGGTAGACTCTATTGAGGGAAAAAAGTTTGTTCTTATTTTTTGATCGGGCTTTCATTATTCTATTTTAATCCTACATTAGTATACTTACACAACACACATAGTACGTGAAAGGGGACTGTATGAATAATTTCAAGTGACCCTCCATGCAAAGATGCCAATGTCCTATTCAAAATGGTTTGTGGTCTCTCTACAAAAGTGACCTCCGCATTTCTACAGCAGGAAACATATGCAAATAATTAGAAATAAACACTTTTAAGCTTAGAAAAACAACCAATATCTTCCACATTTTTGATCAGATAATGGTTTCAAGGGTACCGTAGTGAATCGGGCATTGCCCAGGGGGGGAGGGGTCACTTCAGAATACGCTTTCAGTCCCTTTAATTAACGAATTTAGGATAAAAACTAATCACTCTTTCTTGCTGGTTCTCAGATTCTGAGGCCAATACTCAATACTCTCTATGTAATGTTAAATAAAAACTGGTGAATTTCGATAGTTTTTGTAAATTGGACTAACTAACATATTATTCATACCACTTAAACCAATCCGACCAGTTCACGAGATTTATTAATCTCTGTCAAACATAACACAAAGTGATCATTATTGAAATAAACCCCCTGATTACGAAAAATAGGCTTTAAAAAAGCAAACTACGAAAAATATGCCATACGTTTTGATATTTTAGGGCCTCCATTTTCTAATGTTGAGATAGATTAATCCACACAAAGTGGTCACTATATTTGCATTTTAATATAGGTTTACAAACCCGTTGTGATCGCGTACGTACACTCTCGATTATTTTCATATCATCGGTAGTTACCTTAATTATTTATAGAATAATAATCATAATATGTTAGATATTATCGGTCTATTCAATAAAATTTAATGAAAATCCAGAGCTGGATTAATATTTAAGCTGATGGTGCGCTAATTTTAGAATATACTATGTAGGAACTGTCCTTGGAATTACCAACTGTGCAGGAGCTGTTCCCGGTTTTGTGGCTCCTTTGGTATAAGTAATTTTTAGAGAAATTATAAAATGTACAAAAGCTTTATAGATAATTAAAAACAAATGTAATTTATAGATTGCGACAAGTTTTGTCAATGATAACCCATCTGATGTCGATTTGTGGGCACCAGTCTGGATAATTGCCATTGCAATTTTAGGTAATTTTTATTCTTCATCTTTTTTAAGCATTTTATAAACTTCCAAGGTTACTTCACTTTACGTATTATTCCAGTTGCAGCTTCGTTATTCTATATAATATTTGCTGATGGTGTCCCTCAAGAATGGAATTACTCTGAAGAGGAGAAACAAGAAAAACAGGCAGCTTAGTACTTTTCCTATGCGTACTTTGAGAGTAAACATTTTTCTAATTAAATATGAAATACATTCGGAAACTGACATCCATACCGGTCATTTTATGTATTTGCTATGTTGATAAAGTTGTCTCAAAGAAATTGAGTCGTTGCCACAAACTCCGAATTTCTAAACCGTACATCTTTGCAACCCAATATCGTATACCCGAAATATTTCAAACTATGAATAATGTTAAATCAAAAATCTATGTTTAAAATATCAACGGGTTACACTTTCAGGTTGCAAAGATATAGGGATTAGAAAAATCAAATTTGTGGCAAAGACGCAATTCCTTTATCAATCAATTTCATTGATCAAATATTTTGGAACAATCTACAAAATAAATAAAGATAAAGTGTTTTCAGAAATAGAAATTAAAGAATTTGAGCCGCGCTTTAAATCTGCCAAAACCCGGTTTAAATTAAGCGCCGGCTTAAATCTTGAAACATTTGATACAATTTTAAGTGGAACCAATCATATTTAAGCCGCAGCTTAAATTTAAACCGCTGCTCAAATTCTTTAAATTCGGCCACAGGTCAATTTTGTCCCTGTCATTGCTTTAAATCTGGTCGGGACAAAAAAAATGCAGTTTGACCAATATTAAAGTAAATTCATAAATTTTAGCTTTTGTTTGTTGTTTTTCAAGTCGCCATTTTTCATTAGTCTCTATCATAGATAAAGATAGATTGCGCATAAGACGACATTTTTCATCATGAAAGATATAAATGTACAGAGATGTTTTAAAGATATTCCTTTTATACATATTAACTAGGTCAGTTGTGAACATTGGCTGTTCTTATGTCTTTGAGTAATTGTGGTGTACATGAGTTCTGTAGAGAGAAATTTAAGTTAGTTTAGTCCTTCTCATGTCCTTCTTCAGTTCTCGTCAATATGATATATTGCTCAGTGAAATATTGTTGTTCAAATAGTTCTATTACCGGAGTTATTTTACACTCTACTATGAAATCCATTAAAACACCAAACCAGTTTGCGGAATGTACAATTCTTGGTGATTTTACGTACATAAGCTATCTATGTTTATTTATTTATCTATGGACTCTATTCAAAATAAAATCTTCGTGTTGTTTTGCAAACAAATGTTTAATTCTGATACAGAAAAATAAAGAAGAAAGAAAGAGTGAGAGAAATTTATTCAGCAATTTAAACATTAGAACAAACTTTTAAGTGTAGTAACGGTATTACTAGAATAGCAAAACAAAACTTATGTTGTAAACTTTACAACTTTAAAGTTTTTTTTTGTAGAATTTGGAAAAATATTTTTTTTCTTTGTTTTAGAAATGGAATTCAGTTTTTTTACAAACTCTGATTTTCTAATCCCTATTTCTTTGCCGTTCAATGCTGTAGACCATAGACATTTCAAACTATAAATTCTGTTAGATAAAAAATCTAAGTTTAAAAGATAAAAGTTGTTAATATATAAGGATTAGACAATTCTAGTGTGCGGCAATGATTTGTGAGTTTAATACATTTTGTAAATTTAACAATACTGACGTAAGGAAATATACAATTAAAATTATGAAATTTATCACATAAGTATTGCACTACATAGAATTTTTTAGGTACGATCTTTTTAGCTTTAGACGAATGTCTTAAAATTAACAGAAAATGACTTGCCAACATCTGCAGGGGATATTTGCGTGTATTCAACCTATTTTTACTTTGCTTGGATTACCTAGAGGTGATGTAAGAAGTTGATAACTGTTTAAATTTAAGCCAATTTTTACTCTCACTTGATCATAATGTAAAAGGACGGTAAACAGAAATGTGTCTTTTCATCAGAAATGTGTTTAGGTAAATGTTTAGGTAAATGTTTAGGTAAATGTTTAGGTAAATGTTTAGGTAAATGTTTAGGTAAATGTTTATAATTATACTTATTATTATTTCCGAGAAGAAATTTCAGAATGAAGGAAAATTCTAAAGTGACAAATATCCTATCTGATACAAGAAACAAAATCTGTAATTTTCCACCCTACGCACTGCGTACTCTGGCCTTGAACTTGATTTGCTCGCGTACGGTGCTTCAAAAAAAACTTTCTCCTTGATAATGATATTAACATTCAAGTATTTCCGAAAATTGTATTTTAGGAATTTGGCTATAAGTTCGCTCCATGAATGTATTCCTGGAATCTATCGTTTTACGTAAAGAGAAAACGTAGATCTACGGAGAGAGATACTCATTTTAATGTTTTGGTTGAAACAAAGTTGATCAAAATAATTTTCTGAAATAGTCTTTTTTGGTTTCCTTGAATCATTGCAAGCTATTTATCTTGATTTTTATAAAACATTGTTGACAGATATATTTGTCTTGCTTTTCAGTAATTTAAGATTTGTGAGTTATAAGGTTTCAAATAAGGGGAAATATTATCTCATGACAGCTTTTTTGTGCCCTTGTAAAACTTTGTGAAAAACTAAACTTTATTTATCTTTCAATCAAATCTAAGGAATTGAGTTTTTGCCGCAAACTCTGATATTCTAATCCCTTTTTACCTTGATGTCGTAGACCTTAGATATTTCAAACTACGAAAGCTGTTATATTAAATAGTCTAAGTTTGAAATATAAAATTTATCAGATGGAAAAGATATAGGAATCAGAAAATTTGTGTTTGTGGGATACTCAATTCCTTTATAAAGATCAAAGAAAACTGTCAGATTAATACATAACATCAAGCACCTTTAAAAAGTAGCCATATCTACATTTATTCTACAATTTCGGCTGTTTTTGTGGAGTATGACGATGCAGAATAAAGGCTGATAAAGCCATAGAGCGGAATTTTAATGAAAATAAGTTTTATAAATTTTCATAAAATCCTCGAAATAGAATGGATGCTCCTGGCCAGGAACTAGCCTAATACATATTTAGCTTAAGTAAAAATAAAATTTTAAAAACTTGAATTGAGAAATACCTATATATATCTTCAGCTTTTTGAAAATAAAAAGCAGACATGTCAAGATTTCCCTCTTCTCCATAACAGATTCCCAATCTACAGAAACAGAAACAGAAAATTATTTATTAACTATCTATGCAACTGCATTGTGTTATTACGTACGGTACAATATGATTTTTTTGCCGGGAATTTTAATTTAATTTAAGGGAAATGTTGATGCCCAAATTGAGGTAATTGTTCATGCAAATTTAATTATCAAAAATAATGCAAAGATTATGATATTTAAGAATCTTATTGCACCAAAACAAGAACAAAAAAATACTCATTTGTCTCAAAACCAATAATAAACATATCATCCTTCGGATTTTAAAATTGAAAGTAAAACAAAATAAAATCTATCTATACATACACTTTGATTGGGTGTCATGGGTGTTTAGGCTCAGTTTCATTTGCCATAATTACACTTGCCATAATATCTTTGCCATAAGAAACACTTGCCATAAGTTACACTTGCCATGAATAACATTTGCCAAAAGTTACACTTGCTATAATGGTTACACTTGCCATAATCACACTTTCTATAATTACTTTTGTCCTAATTTTCTAATTTTTAAAAAGATGAAAATCTGTCTTTTTTTTAAATGCGGGAAATTTTCCCATGAAAATTCCCAACTTTACTTCTCTCATTGCTTTATAACAGAACAGTTGACACAAGTTCAACTCCATATTGTCTCACAATGGAGGACCCTTTGGTGACCTTCGAGACCACAAGTAAGATTTATGGATGCTCAAAATTACAAAAATGTGTGTCCAAAAGTTTTTGATTTAAAAAATAAGCGAATATATATTATTAAATCCGCAAAATTTTTTGTTATTGTTTTATATTGTACGAAGAGATATAGAAATATCATTATATACTTTGCTGTCTGTTTGTTTGTAAACGATTAACAACAACATGGCTGAACCCAGGGAAGGTCTATGGATGCTCAGAATTACAAAAAATCCATTAAAAATTGTCAATCAGCAAAAATGTGTATTATTGTTGAATGTTGAAAGATTGGGCAACAATTAAAAGTTGGAATTTAATTCGGGCGCGAAGCCCCCTGATGTGAATATACTATCAATTAGAAAAAGTACCTAAGGTAGAGACCAGCCACTACCCCAGTATTTGCTCCATAGTAGAGCTCAAATAAGGGGAGTACCCTCTCTCCATAAATACACCCAGCCATCCACCTTTCATTCTTATATAAATAAAGAATTATCAATTACTGTTAATTCCTTTTTCCTTTAAATTGTTTAAAGCTGGGCTGACCGTAAATTGTCTAGAAAATTTATAAAATTTGGATTGATTGGACAATTTTTGTTGTCCCTTCATTTTCGCAAGGTCCGTAATGAAACCGAATTAATTATGAAATATATTACAGTCAAGTAAGAACTGATTATCTTCTAATTTTTTTATTCACGTAAACGTCATTGTCATCGAGATAAACTTGAAACATATCTCATCTAAGATTTTCTACGAACTTCTGTAGTTGTTTAGTTAACAATTCCTTTGCTTTAATAAACCTTTTGGAAATCATCATACACGGAGTCATTGCAGTATGTATCACATTATTCATTTTAATTTTTATCATTATTTGTATAAATAAAGAACCAGCCAAAGCATGGTTAGCTTATTTTTAAATTGTTTACCTACCTTCCATTTTTGTTTTGGTCATTTGTGGGGCTGGACACACATTAAATATCAAGCTGGAGTGGTATTTTAACAATTGATTACTCACCAGTAAGCAAACCGTGTGCACATAATGAATTGTTTTCACAAAAACAATGTCCCTGATGAAAATATTTTAAGATTAATAACTAACTATTTATGCATAAAAAGTAAGTAAAACTAGCAACATTTTTAGAAAAATGAAAACTAAATTTTTTTGAGATTTTATTGAATTCAAAGATTAACCTTTCAGAAAAAACGTCTTCCATTTCCCCAACAGCCCACTCACATAACTCTTCATAACTCATTCCTCCCATTTCCTCCATTCTCATTTTGTCCGTTTCTTCCCCCTCATCTCCTCTCAACTTATTTATCTCTTCTGCCCGCTCAAGTATTGTGAAAAGCTCTCGGTATCTGTAAGAAAGATTAAACCATTCGAATCCAAACGTTAACATCTTGCAGTAATCAAGGGTGGACATTTGGGACAATTACCCCCTCCCCCACCCCCTCCCAATCTAGGGGAGGAAGGCAACCTCAAATGTTCATAGCACAAAGGAATTGCGTCTTTGCCACAAACTCTTATTTTCTGATCACTACATCTTTGGAACCAAATGTTGTTGCATACCTTAGATATTTCAAACTATGAATTCTGTTAGATCAAATAATCTAAGTTTGAAATATCAAAGGTTTACAACATCGAGTTCTAAAGATATTGCGGTTTAAATATTTGATTTTGTTCCAAAGACTCAATTCCTTTGAGTATTCATATAACTATAAGAAGAAAATTTAGTTTAAAAATTCCGCAAAATCGTCTTTTTAATGATTTTTTGGCTTAGAGTAGTGATGCCTACATTGAAAGCTGTAATCCAAAGATAAAGATAAATTTGTTTATTTCAATGTTTCTGTCAATTTATCTGTGGGAAGTATATTATGATTATCAAAAGAGTTTTATATGTTTGATTTTTAATTCCAGAATGTGGTTTCGAAAAAAAATTCTGAGGAAAATTATTTGGTTTACTAAGGGAACAAAATGGATTTGAAGTTTATAAGGTGCTTTTAGACAACTCAAAAATTAGAGGTGATTGCTTTTTGTTCGTTGTAATTTAAAAAATTACTCCGTATTTTTTAATTCATGCAAATTGTTCAATGTTTACCTGGAAATTCTAGAGGAGCTAATTTGAGATCCACATGCCATACACTTCACGATCAAACTCCAAATCTAGAATATTTTTGTACTAAATAAAACGTTAAAAAGGCAATGCTATAGAGGACGTGAGGTCGATCTCTAATGGAACGCATAAAGTAACTTCCAGTATATATATTTCTTATAACTTTTACTAGAGGGTTCAGAAAATGTGATAATATCAAGATCCACGTGTTAGACTGAAAGTTCAATGCCCCGTATCCGTTCTATCTCATTTCGGTGAATCTTGTGGAACTTGTTTTAGGCAGCCAGGTATCGTCTTCCACAATGCTTTACATATAAGGGAATATTATTACAAAGAAAATTTAGTTAATAAGATGAGCAAACCTCAGAAAAATATCAGATATGAAAAGTAGCTTGGCTTTCGTTCAAAGACTTTAAATAAAAACTCTAAAATGCTAAATTTCTACCTTAACATTTATATTAGACGGAACTCCACAATTGTCACAAACCACTCCATGCTTACTTCCATCCAAGCTGAGTAAAAATTATGTTGATGTAGATAGATTATACAGTCTGTAGGATATGTTATGATTAAGTTTTATTTAAAGATTTGGGAAAGAAAGTAAGTTAGTATTTTGAAGGGATTTATTAATAATAGCAAACAGATAGACATGCAGTCTGCAGTTTCATCCTTAGTCGGTAAGTGAAACCCTTTATATTAATTAAATAAAATTTGTTTCAATTTTATTAAGATTGTGGTTTAAGCATTAAAATACAATTAATTTTTGCTGGTGTGACAAGAATTTAGTATTGACTAAATTACACTTTTACCTTTTGTCTAAGCAAAGTGTACAATCGCATTTAAAATACCAGATTCCAAGCTGCTGTGCTTGTCTGCAATACAGATAAAAGGTTCTATTTTAAGATTGAATAAATCACATAAAAGACTACAAAAACATGGACTATGTCAAAATACAATAACAAAGAATAAAATAATATCAGAATTAGAAAAGGTCAGAACACAAATATGCACAAGATATAAGAGTGAATTTTTATTGTTCACAAAGTTTTTTAACTGTTACTTTTTTCAACCTACCATTTTTCTTTTTACATCGTAATTTAAAAATCTTATCCGTTAAATTTGTGCTTTTTTAAATACAGAGTATTTAAACAAAAATTAGGTCTCGATCGGTTCACTCGTTATTGAATACAAACAAAAAGACAAACAAGAACAAGAAATTGATTCTTAGTCACAAACCTTGATTTCTTAATACCTTTGCAACCAAATGCTGTAAACATTTGATATTTCAAAATTCGAATATATGATCTGCAGACAGAATTTATAGTTTGAAATATTTAACGTCTATGGCATTGGGTTGCCATTGTAAAGGAATTAGAAAATTAGAATGTGTGGCAAAAACTTAACCCATTTTTTATAGATTACCTAGTTGATGTGTCATCCATACTGTTCACGTAGCTAATTTTTGCAACCTCATCTATCCGACCTTCAGGGATCTCTTCAGTAGCAACTACATGCAATTCTTTGCCCCTATATTTACGAAAAATAAAATGTAACATTTTCTAAAAAGTGTGGAAAAGAAATTTAATTAATGTGATGGCCTCTTATTTGTATTTTGAGTTTAATACCTTTTGCCAATATACAAGCAAATTTGTTAAAATCAACGGCAAAATTCAGGCCAGAGCGACCAGGGGCCTTGAATATTAAAAGTTTTAATGAGGCTATAATTCAAAACTAATGGAACCATAGAAAGCAAAGGTTGGACTGAATTATATTCTAGAATTCCAATTCAGAAATATTTATTTGTTACCTAAACACAACTGTACAGTTAGGAATGCATGAATGATCTAGTAAAGATGGAAGAAGGTAAACCCCTGTACCAAAAGGTTCTGGACGTGAAAACCTAAGATTTTTTATTAATAAAGAAAAAAAATGAGTTTTGACACAAAATAAAATTTTCTAATCCCTATATCTTCGTAACCCTGGAACATTTCAAACTGAGACTAATCGATTTAACAAACTTCATAGTTTGAAATATCAAAGGTCTGCGAGGCAACATCGGGTTGCAGAGATATAGGGATAAACATATGGAATTTGTAACAAGAACTGAGTAACAATTAAAGTGAAAACATAAAAGGAATACCTATCTGTTCGAAGACTAAACGAGTTTGTTAATATTTTTCCGTAGATTGATCTGAACTGTTCTAAGGTAGGCATTCCAGTACTAAAAATATATTTTAAGCAAATCTGTTTCATATTATTGAATCTTTCACTCTTATTTAAAGGAGATGGTTGGTCTCTGGACATAGGTATTTTTTCCGTGAATTACTTTCCTAGACTGTATTTGCACTTAATCAGGTTTAGTGCAGAAATATTTCAACACTTCACATTTTTTAACTAACACACCATTTTTGAAAAATAAGATTTTCACATTAAAAATAGGTGAAAAATTTCCACTTGAAATCACTTATATTTCAATAATGATTTTTTAATTAACTGTCCTCCCTAAAACATAGCTCGTAAATCAATAAATCATGTATACACTCACCCTAGAAATCCAAGCACGTACGTACATTAACAGGATTTGATGTACATTAATTTTTTCAAAATTATATGTTTGTTTTATATCAAAAAGAACTTCTTTATTGCAACGACATTTATGCCAGTTTCAATGCTTTTAGTTTCAATGCTTCTTCCTCTTTTCTATTTCTTGGCCGACTCGTTTTGTGGAGTAAAAACATTGCACAAATGTTAAATCAAAAATGAGATTATAACGCGATGTTTGCGCAATTCTAGCAGACAAACACTTTTGCAAGACAACTTTTTTGGAATTAAAAACCTCGATTATTCCCCTAAACAATCACACAAATTCTTTTTTTTCGAAAATATATAAAAGAAAAGTATCTTAATTGCAAAATCAAGCATTTATTAATTTTAAAATTATGAAGTAGAGTTTTTGACCATCAATCAAAAAAAACCTAGAAATTTTTATTTGACACCCCTGGCATATTATTTTTAGTTAAATGCCAAAATAAAAAGTTTTATTTAAAGTACAACTACAGTTAAGGTAAATAACAAGTGCAAACAGTGTACAGGCAAAACAGCAACCACCCCCTTTTACACATTTAAAAGTTATTGTTTGAAAACAAATACTATGCAGTTTGCACATCCACTATAGTGTAATGTATTTGACATTAAAAATAGTATTATTTTATAGTATATAGTGTATTTGACTTTAAAAACAGTATAATTTCTAGACCTAGTCGTGTCCGACTAGGTCTAGAAATAAAGTAATTAAAGGAACTAGAAACGTAATTACATGTAAAGTTTTTGATACCGTGAAAAGCTTTGACTGATCAATTATGAATAAGTAATCCATGTTTTTGTTTTTGAAAACTTTTTGGTTTATTTGTGGTTTCTTTGAAAAAGCGACTTGCGGATTTCTTCCTTTAAATACAATTGAGAAATTGTCAGAATTAAACACTTACGACGTTTTCTTTCAATTGATCAGATTAGGGTTTCAAGGGCACCGTTATAAATGGAGTGTCACTGAAAATTCCGTTATTTTCGGATAAATCTAAATAACATTCCCGCATAATTTATGTTTACCTGCTTATGCATCTACTAAAAGTATCAAACTGAATCTGTATGAACTCCTGACTGTCTCTCCCAAGGTCAGAAGCATGGTCCATAAGATCCTCCCATTTTCTAAATTTTATAAACATCTTTCTTTTTTTAAAAACACCATTTTAAAACTTTAATTTTTAAAGTTTTAAAGTTAAAAAAAATCAAATTAATAAATATTTAACACTTTCTAATTTCTTCTGGAGATTCGAAATCGTATAATTTTTTCAATTTAATTGCCCCGAGCAACAATTAAACTACTTTCTGCAGTAAGGAACTCAAACATAAAGAGAGTGACCGGCTATGTAAGGTAGTTGAACTGAACAGTGTTGTGGAAAACTTCTTTCGGATTCATTTGAGACATATTAAACTTTTTTAAGATCTGTAAATCCTGAGTTTGAGCGCACAAAAACGTTCAAAACTCCTACTTCGGGGGTGAATACGTTTTCAGAAATAGTTTTTTAAAATTATTAAATAACATAAAATGTAAAAAAGTTCTACAATAAACTATAATGTATAGGAACATGTTGAGAAAATAAAAATTAATCTTAACATAGAAAATAAGCAATCTTGTTCTTGGTTTTTCTAGAAAATCAGCCCATTGGATTCAACCGTTTGTCCAGCTATAGCTAACATATATACAAATAAATATATATATATATATATGAGCAAATCGAACTTTATTATATTGATAATTGAATGTAAGTACAAATATCAAGGCTTATCAACCCATTTTCTTAATAACGTTTCCCTAGGTTTTCGGTCAAAAGTTGCTAATGTTGCATTTTATAAAAACTATTTTCAACAATTTATAGTAAACAAGTGTATAGGGAGAGAGTGTCACTTGAAGATACGTCTACAGTCCTTGAAAGGGCCTCAAATACTCTTTTTAAAAGACTCTCGTTAAAATATCGTAACCCTACCTTGGACATTTTTAACTCCCTAGTTAATAAGCTGCCTCTGTTTCCATTTCTAAATTCATTAATAACTTATCTCTACATTAATATCGCTATTCGAATTGTGTCACAAATCTTATTTTGCTTTATCAATTATGAATCCAAAGTTTTATTTTAAAAATTGGATTTTAAGCATTTTCAATACTGCATAATAGCTATAAATAAAAATTTGATATTTTTGAGAAGGTTGAAAATAGTCTTGAATATAAAAATTCAGTTTTTGTTTTGCTGAATGTGGTCTTAATTTTTATCATAAAACAACAAATTATTATCATTTTTATTATATCATTATAATTTTTGTTATTGTTTTCCATTACTTACCAATTTTAGTTTGTTTATTTATCATCAGAATAGATTAACATCGTCTATATATATGTATTCGTAATTTCCCCGAGGGAACATATTTATATCCTCAAATTGTATTTTTTATCCTTTTATCTGTGAAATGTCGTAAAACTTTGAGCTAGATTAAATGGTCAATGGTTATATGAAAGGTTTACTATATCAAGAGATAGGAATTAGAAAATTCGAGGTTGCTGCAAGTGTTTAGTTCTATAACGAAAGAAAATTTCAATCACCAAACCATAGATACAAAAAGTTAATTTTTATTTTTAATCTAATAATCCCCTAATTACAAAAATTATTAATACACAAAAACTTAAAAAAGAATCAAGGTTTGAAATTTTCTTAAAACTGTATTAATCCTCATGATGATGCGGTTTAAAGGATGAACTTGGGAAAATAGGCCTGTAGGCCTATGAGCACATTAAATAAAAAATATATTTTTACTTTTAGAGGAGTTTTAATAGGTAGAGTTTATAGTGGCATGGTGAAGAAAAAGAAAACGTAGAATCGCGAAGAGTTCGAACGTTTAAACCCCACTTGCAGCCTCCTCAAGGTGAAGATGAAAACAGAGAACTAGAATTGTCCTATTCTTTATAAACAAAGTTTGTGTACATATAGTCTAATAATGAGCAAACAACCCTTCATCAAAGCAAACAAACTTTAGATAAACCTAGACAAAATAACAGAACTAAAATAAAGAAATATGACTAAATCTAAAGAAAAAAATATCTATTCGTTTTGCCAAATCTTAACACTGTCAGAAGTTATAAGCTGAACGATTTTTCAAATCGTTTTAAAAAAACGATTGACTTTCCTTCGTTCAGGCTTATATTTACTGCCAAAGTCAATTTTGCATGACTTCAAAAAGGAAAACTAATAAAAAATGATTTTAAAGGATTTGAGTCCTTGTCACAAACTCTTTCTTTCTAATCCCTATATCTTTGGAACCCAATGACGTTCCCCTTTGATATTTCAATCTTATATTATTTGATCTAACAGAGTTCATAGTTTGAAATGTCAAAGATCTAAAACATTGGTTTCCAAAGATATAGGGTTTATAAAATCAGAGTTTGTGGCAAAGACTCAATTCCTTTACGTGTGAATTCGTATATTTTTGTAAAGCCTCCTAAAACCTAAGAATTTTAAAAACATATAATAACGATGCCAAACTCTTCTTTATTTCTTGCTTATATTATGCATAAAAAACGTATCATATCTACTTAGTAACTAAGGGTCATTAAAATTGCAAAATTTAAATAACTTCAAACCTAACTGAAATCTTTACAAGTTTGGACTTTTTTGCAAAGTGGCGGTCTTTCTTTTTTTTATATTCTCACGGCGTATTTTCTCATGGCGTTTTTTTTAGAAAAATGCATTTTAGTCAGTAAAAAAGTCAATAAATGCCTGGATAAAGCTTGTCTATTTGGAAAATTATTTTTTTTTCTTGTAATAAAAATCAAAACGAAGAAATATTTAAACTGTGGTTATACAGAACTGATTTTTTATTGTAAAAATAAATGTGAATGTGATTTTGATAAAACTTTTTATTTAGATTTTAGCTGAAGGTTAAAATTCTTGTTTTCCATACCATAAACCCCTATACATCTGTGCTATATTTAATAGTTTTACTATTAAGGGTCTTTAAATTTAGTTTAGAAGCAGCATGGCACAAATGAGTATTTCTAGTAACTTAAAATTGCAGTGGTGTAATAGAAATGTAATTCGAAAGTAAATTATTATTTTCTTAAATATAAAACAGCTAGCAAACAAAGTGTTTATCAATTATATGTCCAACGCGCGACATCCTTGATCAGTGGAAAGTTTAAAGGGTACAGTTGTGATTTTCAAATGTAGGGTCACTTAAAATTATGCATATATTGCCTTTAACCTTGAATTTACCTTGATATTCCTGCACCATGCTCTGCAACATTCTTTTCATTGTTCTTGGATATAACCCAGAGTCTTGAAATCAAGTAGAACAATTTTATGGTATTGAAAATTCAAAGAAGGAACAAAAGCAGGGTTTAAAAAGTTTTTAACTGATCAGGAAGGGGGTGTGGGTTCTAATACCCTATGACTGTATTTTTTAATTTGTAGGACAAAATAGTTAAACTTTTTACATACAGATATTTCTCTACTATAAATTCCTAAGGACTAATCTAAGCTGATCTGGAAGTTCTGTTAGTTGATTCTCATCAGATCTCAGAATCTAAAAAGGATGAACATGAAAAAAAATTCAAACGCGATTCCCACTTAAAAATTTACGTTCACTCTCACAATATGTATTTTCATATGATTGAGATTCAGTTTTCTTTTTCAAAGCATAGGGTAGGTCACAATCGTACTATACAAGAAGGTATTAACGGCGCGCGACTGTTGAATAATAAAGAAGTTCAAAACCGGAATTGTTATATAACTTGAGAAGTATCTTCTTTGGAAAATTTAAAAAATTTAGCTGTTTATTGGTAAAAAAAAACAGATACACACAGGGCATCAACATTTTTATTTTGTAGATCGAAACTGGTGAAAATAAATTTACAAATATGTTTTCCTAATATTTACAAACATGATTTCCTAATATTTACAAACATGATTTCCTAATATTTACAAACATGTTTACCTAATATTTACAAACATGTTTTCCTAATATTTACAAACNGTCAAATTGACCCCCCCTCTAAATTCCATGTTTGATGTCCAAAAATGACAAATGAAAAGCTCTAGTGCCCTACTTTTAGAATCTGCAACAAAAAAAATTTCAAATTTGCAAAAATTGAATTTTTTTTTGCAATATCCAGTTATAAAATAAAAATGTATGCTAAAAAAATGTTCAAAAAATGATAAAATATATATTTTTGAAAAGCCTTTGACCATGCTATTTGAAATATGCAAAAATGTTTGCAAAATTTAAATAACCTGATGTGTAATTAAGTAAAACTAAAAATTAATATGCCAAAATGTCCTAGCAAAACTTTTACAATTTCTTACTAGACTTTCCAAAAAGCTAAAAATTGTCTAAATCTGACAACTTTAAGTGGATAAAAACAAAGACTTAGTTTGTTGCAGAAAAAGTAGTCATACGTGCTGCAGTGTGTCTGAGGACTCAGGCAGTTAGTATAAAAGCCTGGTTTTAGACCTAAAAGGAGGGCTATAGGTATTCAGAAATGTTCAACAGCCTCAGACCAATACTTTTGAGTTATGACAAAAAAACTACAATTGGGGGTCAAATTGACCCCATTCCGCCCCCCAGCAGGAATAGGGTTAACAGCTTTACTTTAAATATATGTAGGTTTATAAAATGTGGACTGTCGAAAGTCTCAACAGTCAACTCTAGTGGTTGGAACAAGTTACCCTCTGTAAAAGTTAAAACACCGAAATTAGAAAGTGATACACTGTACAGACATCTTTTTATTTTTGTATCATCGTTTTTTGAATAACAAGAAAAATAAATCTCAAGGTTTAAAATTCATTTGAAAACGACACGAGGCCGAGAAATGTTCATGTTTAATTATTGATGAATCTTTCTTTGCAATATTCTAAGAGAAAAAATCAGTGTTCACAAAACAAAATCCTTATTTTCGTTAAAAAAGTTTAAACGTTTTTTGACCTGACCAACTGTTAACTACTTGATATCTGTTTATTACCTCAAATAAGAAAAATTTGATTACATTTTTTCTTCAAACAGACTGGCAAAATAGCAAACATTTAAAAATTACTTTGATTTTGATTAAGATAAGCTATTCGTATACAGAATACAGCTTCTTTCATTATTTATTCTTTTCTAGTTTCTGTCAACCCATATTACATAAAGGAACAAATGGAAGTTCCCCAGATTCATTGATTGTTAGATTTCCTTTACCAGAGAATCCCAGACAGAAAAGTTAAGTGGAAAACTTCTTTTTGATAGGAAACTGAACATAAAAACAAAAGATAATTGGTTGGCTCTATAGATTTATAAAAAACTTAAGCTTTTAGGGTGCTTCGCGCCCCTTTTCCAGTAACAATTTTAGCTTTTAACTGTTGCTTTTTAAACCAACAATTTTGTTGCAGGTTTTTTGTTTAAATTGATGCATTAAAAATAAAAATGACAGATATAAACATCATATATGGATTTTTAAAAAAAGACATTTTAATTATAATTACATAAAAAGATGTGAACAATGGTCTTAATAAAAACTTATCCCTTTTAACCTTTCTTGATATTTTTGAAAAGATTGAGATGAATAGAAAATATAAGGGAAGATTTGAAGATCAATTAAAGAAAAAAATTGTCGAATAGTTTTACATAAACTTAGGAATACTTACTTTTTGCATTAATTTCACTACAAATAATTTTATTTGGGGGGAAAAGAAACATACAAGCCGAGAAAATAATTCTGCGTTTTAGATATTCGGGAACAGTCAGATTTATATAAAAATAAAATAAACTGTTTATCTTCAACTTTTTACTTTTTTTTAAGTCTATACAATTTAAGGTTGGTTTAATTTTTTCTTGTATAAACGTATTATTTTTAGTGCTGGACTTAAAAAATATATTACAATGAAAAATTGTTATCATTTATAAATATATTTATTTAGAGAATGTAAATTTTATGCGACATTACTGGTATAAGTTATTAATGCAGTTATAAATTCATACAAACTAGAAGTTATATTTTTTCTTCAAAATAGCTCTTGATAAATCCAACAGACATGCCAAATAGGTATAAAGATCGCTCATCACTTTATGATAGGCAGACTTTTACTTTTACAAAAGATTTGATTTAGAAATGAAGATACGATTTCTAGTTTTTTTATGCTATTAGCAAACTTATAAGCTTTTCAAATTTTGACATAAGTATAGCAAATTCAATTAGACTGTAGGCAAGCCTTCAGTAAAATTTAATTCAAAAATTTGATTTGTCTAGGAAAGAGTTTCCTTTACTGAGTTCAATTCCAAGAAAAGATTATAGTTTAAATATCCAGTTTAACTTATCTTCTAATATGCTTTACAAAGTTATTTCCTTGTTAGGAAATTTTAACGGAAACTTTAAATAATTTTTTAACCAAAGGAATTGAGACTTTGACACAGATAATTCGTTCAAACTGGGGACACAATGAACAGACTCTATTTGATCAGCTTCGTTGAATATATTAATGAAAAGTAAAAGTATCAATATTTCTTTTTCTATTCAAACATTATCTTTCGCTCATTAATCATGTAACGTCCTATATGTGTCACTAGATTTTGATAAAGAGCAAAAAGGAATATTCCATACATAAAGCTTTGGTCAATACTTGTCGTCTTTAAACATGTAGGGAACATGTATTTTAAATAGATCATATATCTATATATTTATAAAGTAGTAATAATCTCTGTTTGTTTGTTAGTGTGTCTGATCATAACTCATCAACCCCTTTACCGATTTGATTGGAGAATTCGGTAGAACAACGTGAATGTTCTTATCTTGATTTCAACGTTTTAAGTTGAGAAGGTCGACTTTTAAAGAAGAAAAATATTAATTTTTGGGCAAAGCTGGGTTTCTGCTCTAGTGTAATCTACAATAGTATTTAAATATATGTTAACATGTTTTCCAGGATAAATTTATAACGGTCTCAAATCTTTCAGTCCTCATGTTATTATAAATAAGCTCTTTTACAAGAGGAGTTATGGTTGAAAACATATAAGTTTTGAATCTTACGTTAATTTTACTTATTTTACTTAATTTGACGTTATTGAAATTTGTTCAAGATTTTGAAAATTAAGATGTGACACAGTAGGACAAAAAAAATGATATTCTGATTTTATTTTTCATATTAATTTGTTGTACCGCTGTGTACTAAAGATGTTAAGTTTTGAATGAATGAATGATACTTATATCCCTTGCAATTAGATAATAAATTATAAAAGGGAGGTGACACCAAATAAAAACTTGACAGAAAAGAATTTCGATATTATAATTTAGCCATCAGCTAAGCTAAGAAGCCTTTCTTAGTTATTTTTTTGTAGTTCGTTAAAAAGTGTGATTAACTAAAAAAATTATTAATCATAAACGGTTATATACAAACTGGGTTTTGACAAACTTTTATAATTTAACTATAAACTAACATGAACTACACGGACGTGTACAGTTAATTCAACTATAAACTAACATTGTTAAAATAAATTCGAAATATAAGGAAGACGATTTTTCCGACTCAAATGCCGACGTTAATTCTCAATGTTTGTGTACACAGGAAGCAAGCACACCACATGTGTCAAATCCCCGCTCACCTTAGATCCCCGCTTCAACCGGCAGTCAGTTACGAACACTCATATTCACAACTCCATCTCTACCCTGGCTCCTCCATGATGATGATGCAGATACTCAGCGCAACGCACCTGTAGATCTGCCCCACCAACATGAAGCTCTACATCACCCCCCCTGACTCCTCCATGATGATGATGCAGATACTCAGCGCAACGCACCTGTAGATCTGCCCCACCAACATGAAGCTCTACATCACCCCCCCTGACTCCTCCATGATGATGATGCAGATACTCAGCGCAACGCACCTGTAGATCTGCCCCACCAACATGAAGCTCTACATCACCCCCCCTGACTCCTCCATGATGATGATGCAGATACTCAGCGCAACGCACCTGTAGATCTGCCCCACCAACATGAAGCTCTACATCACCCCCCCTGACTCCTCCATGATGATGATGCAGATACTCAGCGCAACGCACCTGTAGATCTGCCCCACCAACATGAAGCTCTACATCACCCCCCCTGACTCCTCCATGATGATGATGCAGATACTCAGCGCAACGCACCTGTAGATCTGCCCCACCAACATGAAGCTCTACATCACCCCCCCTGACTCCTCCATGATGATGATGCAGATACTCAGCGCAACGCACCTGTAGATCTGCCCCACCAACATGAAGCTCTACATCACCCCCCCTGACTCCTCCATGATGATGATGCAGATACTCAGCGCAACGCACCTGTAGATCTGCCCCACCAACATGAAGCTCTACATCACCCCCCCTGACTCCTCCATGATGATGATGCAGATACTCAGCGCAACGCACCTGTAGATCTGCCCCACCAACATGAAGCTCTACATCACCCCCCCTGACTCCTCCATGATGATGATNGTTAATTCAACTATTAACTAACATGTACTACACGGATGTGTATTGTTAATTCAACTATAAACTAACATGTACTACACGGACGTGTATAGTTAATTCAACTATAAACTAACATGTACTACACGGACGTGTATAGTTAATTCAACTATTAACTAACATGTACTACACGGACGTGTATTGTTAATTCAACTATAAACTTTAACATGTACTACACGGACGTGTCTGTTTTATTTCCTCTGAACTTATCTCTTTTCTTAATGAATTTTCCGGAGAATAACTGTAAGTAGGCTTTCAGGAGGAGAGGATTTAAGGGGCTTGATTCAAACTATAAATCCCCTTCAGAGGAATTAAGCTTTTGTCTTTTGTTCTCTCTTATAACCCTTGAAAACTTTTATGGGGGGGGGGGTCAATATTGTATATCTGACTTCTCGTAGTTAAAATATTTCCTTCTCTTAATTTTCAAATCTAAATATGTACTACTATACTTTACAGGGCCGGATGTTAAGAGAATTTATAAAGGGCTCCTAGCCTCCAAAGACAAATTTTCCTTCTGAACATTCGGAGCTTGAAGTTATTTTACTTAATTGTCCCATTGGACGTCAACTGAATCACAGGTCGGTAATGTTGGCCAAAAGGAGGTATAAAAAAGACCAGTCTTCAAAACATAAAATATAAAATAAATTCATAAATCCAGATACCATTGTCTTCTATGGGCAGAGATCCTTTTTATAACCTTTTAAGATTATAATTTCTGTTTTTTTTTTTAGAAAAAAAAGAAGGTTTTTTTCAATGATAACAATAGTTTTCACAATAAGAAAGAGACTTACATTTTGTATTAATATTCCTTCTTAGTTTTTCATCTTTACCTGACATTCCTCTTGATGCTCCTTCTCTCCTGCATCAAGGCAGCTCTATAGAAACCAGTTTTCATCTTTACCTGACATTCCTCTTGATGCTCCTTCTCTCCTGCATCAAGGCAGCTCTATAGAAACCAGTTTTCATCTTTACCTGACATTCCTCTTGATGCTCCTTCTCTCCTGCATCAAGGCAGCTCTATAGAAACCAGTTTTCATCTTTACCTGACATTCCTCTTGATGCTCCTTCTCTCCTGCATCAAGGCAGCTCTATAGAAACCAGTTTTCATCTTTACCTGACATTCCTCTTGATGCTCCTTCTCTCCTGCATCAAGGCAGCTCTATAGAAACCAGTTGGAATCCTTTTTAATTATTTACAACTACTTGACAGGAAATAAAATGTTAAGAGAAGTTTTATCCTCCCCGGAGAAAGTTAATCGTTAAATTGAAAAAGATATCAGTAATTTTTTCCCCATCTAAGCTTTGTTTTTGGGGAAAGTTAGATAAATATCTCATTTTGGTAAAAATTAAAGAAATTATTTATTACTGGTTGGAAATTTGTATTCCTCTCAGTTTATATTTTCATGCTACGGTAAAAAAAAATGACCTCTTAAAATGTAAAACTTTGGTAATACTGTTTTCAAATAAACCTTTATGCATGCCCGAATGACAATGGCACCCTTTCAACTGGTTGTCTGAGGAATAATAATAGATAAATCCTTATATCCTTTTAAAACTATTTAGTCCTTCACCGAAATGTTCAGTTTCTTAATGGGCAAACTAATTGAACCAACTGCTTAAATATACAGATTGATAAAAGCAATAAAATGTCCGCACCCAACCTGGGGAAGAGCATATGCATTGAGTATTCCAATAAAAAAATGAGATGATTTTATGCTCTAACAACTGTTTGTTTTTATTTGTATGATTATTGAATTAAACTCAAATAATTATTCTGTTTGGTCCCTGTGAACAATATTTGGTTTGCTGGCAGCCTGGACAGGAAACAAGGCCCAATTTTATCTAAAAATTTAATCCAGATATATTTAAAACATGGAAGGAACCGTGGCACTTCCTGCTTCGTGATCGAATGAAATGAAAACATTGTAATTGATACAAATTTTGAAGAATGGTCATTATAGAATTTAAAAGTTTTAGAATATAGATGAAGCCGTAGAAAAGTTGTAGATTTCAATTTTCAGAAATTAAATCAAATATAAAAATTAAAAAAATAAGATTTACCTTTTCCCAGCAAAACTCACAAACCTCATCTCTAATAAAATGGAGATTTTGCCACAAACTCAAAATTTCTTATCCATATAGCTTTGCATCCTGATGGAGCAAAAATTTGATTTTCCAAAATATAGACCATTTGATCTAGCAGAATTTCCGGATTAAAATGTCAAACTTCTGGTTTCAAAGCTATGGAATTAGAAAATCAGAGTTTGTGGCAAAACCCTAATTTCTTTGTTTTTATTTTTATTATTGTTCATAAATGTCTATATTAACATAAGAAGATTGTTCTTCAAATTATAGTTGAGATATATTTGAAGAATACTGTTCAGCTACTTACTCAACCCATGGTTGAACATAAGAATGCAAATATAGTATTTTCATCAGGTTGATGTAATACTGAGACAATGGCAACTTCACTAACTGCAGACTGTTGATTACAACTTTATAAATTGAACAATGAAAAAAACTAGTGCTGAATTGTATCACTGCAAACTAGACAAGAAGGAAAAGGTCAAATTTATGTAACATTACTGATACGACTTAATGACATCGTAGCTCCTCTACGCACAGGTATACGAAGAAACAAAATAATTGGGTTTGTAAAGTAAAGTAAACTTGGCTCTAATAATATATTGATATGAAATTTTTTTCCCATTCTCTACATTTATTCTTGCATTAATTGTATTCTTATAGATTTAATCTGAAACAATTTAAATTTTTATGGCAACTTACATGATCACAAAGAAGATCGTGTAAATTGAAAAATTTTGCTCCCAATAAATTGTCCACGTTTTTTTATTTTTAAACAGAATAATCCGCGATAAGGAGTTGAGTCTTTGGCTCAAATTCATATTTTCTAATTCCTATTCTTCGCTACTAGATCGTGTAAACCTTTGATATTTCAAACTTAGAATTTTCAATCTAGCAGAATTCATACTTTGAAATTGCTAAGCTCTACGACAATGGTTTGCAAAGATATAGGAATTTATAGAAAATCAGAGTTTGTGGCAAAGACTCAATTCCTTTAAAAACTATTAAAAATCGCAACATTCTAAGCAACGGTTCAAACCTAAAATTGTAAACAGGAAAGGGGGGGGGCGAACTGCCCTGAAAGCCTTGTAAGATACGTTTATTTGAAAAAAAGTTTGAGTTACCTGTATTTGTTTAGTATGATAAACGCAAATGGTCTTGATTTAAACACAGTGTCTCCTCGATTATACACAACCATTTCTAAGATCTAAATAGAAGTAGAAATCATTTGTGTCTAAGAAATAAGGCGTTATGCAGATATTTTCACGGAGTCGTGACGAAATTCTTCTTTGCGGAAAATTCTTGTAAGATGAGGATGGTATGGGGTTTATGAAACCAAAAACAAATCTCCATACAGCTTCATTCGCTCTCTTCAATTTGAAGAAATATATTCCAATGTAACATGCATGCAATCACAATAAAGTCAGTATAAAAGCATCTTCTCAATAAAATCACACTCAAGAATAATATTTACTCTAAAGTTCCCCCCTTCAAAAGGGACTATACAAATACAACGTAATTTCAAGTGACCCTCTATTGAAAGTTTTTTTTGACGTTTTTGATTTTTTAACTATTTTACTTAATTTTGCAGTTTCTCTACATAAATCAACATTCCTTGCTTGGGGAACAATAGAGAAATTGCCAGAAATCAAAATATTCGACAAGCTAGAAAAACGACGTTATCTTCCGTAGTATAAATCAAACGAGGTTAGGAGCTGCACTTTGAACCTCCAACACAAATTTACACAGATGATAAGCTGAATTCGCTGCTTGAAGCGATGTAAAAAAGCAGTTAAACAATTAGTGAAAGAATTGGGTCGAAGTTTTCAGGAACACTATAGTCATTTTCTTAATTTGTGTAGCTACTAGTTTAAATATCGAAGAAATCGTCATTAATATTGTCTTTGTTTTTTATGATTCCTATTTCTGCCTTGAAAGATTATATTTTTACGATGTTAGGCCGCACACAATGATGTTTTGCCCCTGAATTCTCATCACGACTTTACACTGTACACAGATTTGACGCGTCCTAGTCAATACATATTTCTTGTGTGAATTGGGTGCTGTTGTTAATCCAACATACCCCTTTTTTTAAATCGAGATTAAGTCTACTGCAGTTCTTAAGAACGTAATTTATAGTTTCGAAATAAAAGTATCCAAGGACAGATAATGCCTATCCGATATATCGGCTTTTGGATTTTTATATGTGATGAATGGTCTTTCCTATTTCCTATTTGGCAAAAGAAACAGAAATGTTTTAAATATCACAGCTGATTTGATAATTATTAATGAAATATTATTTTTATAAATTTTATGTTTGGATTAGCAAGAATTATCCATGGTAGAAAATAATTGATCATTAAATAGCCAATGGCCTTGACCACTGACCAGCCTCTAGTCAAAAATATGTGGGGTATCCACGGTAATAAGCTTGAAGACAGTATCCAAAATTCAATCTCTGAAACGAACCCTCATCATTACATGTATCATTGTATGATCATCATGAAGACCTCTAAACTCAGATAGAGGTTGTAATAAAGGCAAAAGGCCACTTGCCTGGTTTTTAATTATAAAAAAATTAAGACATTGCATAGTTTTTACTAACCCCGTCAATCTTTTTGACCCACCCTATAATATTTTAGGAAACTTTAATATTGCTTCATAAAACTTCTTTCTCGGGTTTTCTTTTGTTTCATTATATCATTTATCATAGAAAAACACGGACTAGATTTTAAAATAATAAAGTTGGATATGAAACCATTCCAGGGCAGAAATTCAAGCCATATATCTACTGAATCTTTTAAAATTAGGAATATTAATATTTCTACATTTTTATTTTTACACTTAGATTTGCTTCTGCATGGTAAAAATGAAACGTTTTTGACCAATTGAAGGTCAATGACTCTATGAAAAGAAAATATAAATTATTTATAAATACGTACGTTTAATGTCACAAATGTCATTGAAAAATAAGATTATGAAGAAAGTAATGATAAACTTATCTCACAATCAACTAGACAGCAGGAAAAGGTCAAATTAATACGACATTAGTGGTACGACGTTGTGTCCTTGTAGCTTCGAGTACGAGAAAAGCAAATTTATTTTGTTACAAACTGGAAACTCAAAATATTTTTGTTCTTCTTAATAACTCTTCAAGGAGAGTAACGATTGAAAGTATGTCAGTACTAGGGCGTCATAGAAATCGGCACAATTTGATTTATCAGAATTTAAAATACAGATTTATGAATGCGGCAGAGATTTCATATTTAATCTAAGGTGATACATGGTTTTACTAATTCCAATTTACCGAGCACGTACATTGCACATTGCACAGTGATCTAGTAATTTAATGTCCTGCAAAATTGGGTTGGTAAAATGGAAACATAGGTTGTTCCTATTTGCCCTTAGAATATGTCTACTCTTCTCCAATCTTTGCTGGATTCATGAAGAATATGTGTCTGTAAAAAGGTACAACAAACCTAAATAAGGAAATGTACAAAGAAATACTAAATGAACTTAAAATATCTACACGGTTTACTGAATGTAGAATACGTAGAAGGTCAAGAAGGTTTGATGAAAATATACATCATATACATGGCTGCCTGCGTAAAGTTATGCTGAAATGGGTGAATACGTAAAGTTGGGTATATCCTAATAATGAGAGGTAGTTGAACTAGGTACAGCTAACGCAAGGGGAGTACTTAAATCGGCCGACGCTAATTTTACTTGTTCTATTTTTCAAAAAAAAAATCCTATCTCAGGATGGATGACAAGATGGATGGAAAGGGGTACAATTTAGAATGGATTTACTATTCCTGATACAGAAATGATGAAAAGAGTCATAAAAGCATTTTATGCAACAGAATTAGACCTACTGAACCTTAGTAAATTGATGAATGAGGAAGATTATTCCCTAAAGACGATGGATGATAGGGTATACTGTAATTCCAAATTTATAGGAAATTGAGTTTTATGCTAAATACAGGATAAACGCAATTAATACAATCTAATTTATTCAATAAATACAGTAGATGACTAGCATTTACTGTGCTGAATTGAGGATGAATAAAAGTATTCTAAACTATTTACAGAAGTTAAGAATACACTGAACCTAGCACAGTGTATGTTGGATGAATGGTTAGGATATACTGCACTAAAGTTCGGAGGTTGAAATTTCCTAGATAGATATATGTCTGCAGTTCTCCTCATAGCTAGCTAACATCATAATTCTTATATAAAGCTGGAGGGAGGTTCATTTTATTTTTCACGGTTTGGTTATAGTTTATAGATAAACTATGCTTCTATTTCAATTGTAAACATGTTCTCTTTGTATATATTGTAAAACAAAAACAAACAAAAATATCACGGATTTTAAAAAAATCGAGGTTTTTCAATATTAATAAAAATCGAATTTTGTTACAGGCAAATTTTTTAAAATTCGAAAATCCATTAACCTTTCCAGGGGTCACGCGAGGTCCCACAAAAAATTGAGCCCTATCAGTTCTGCCGTTTTGACGTTTATTGGATACAAACAGAGAAACAAACAAACAGACAACAAAGCAAAGTATAAAAAGATTAGGTCTGCTGAGAGCCTGGAAAGGAGGGTATATCAGGAAGTTATATAATAACTGTTATTCAAAGGTTGGGTGAGAATTCTAGTTCTACTGTAAAGTCTAAGGGAAGCGAGGATGAAAAGTGTGCTATTACAGCTTAAGAATCTTCACAGAGTGTTTGTTCTGTATATATTGCATAGATTTTAGAGTTTAGTTTATGTAACAAATATCGAGAGGATCAGGTACTTTGAAACAACGTTATAGAGAATAAAATCTTTTTAAAAAAAATATAGAAAGATTTCAGAATAAAATAAATTTTCATTGTATCAATTAACAGGTAAGAAAATGTTCTATAACATCTCAATAAAATCTAGACCCAGAAATGTTTAGGATACTTTATCTTAAGATCAATTTGAAATTTAAATAAAAAAAGTAGACTAAACAATTACTCTGCTTATAATTGCTTAGCGAAAGTGTGAATGTGACCTCAATTGCTGTTCCTAGTATTATCTATGAGTTACATCGCAAGACAGATAGTTTGACTGAAAGGGTAAATAAATTGAGTTTTTGCCACAAACTCAAATTTTATAATCCTTATATCTTGGCAACCTATAATGGTGGAAACCCTTGATATTTCAAACTTAGGCTATTTGATCTAACAGAACTCATAGTTTGAAATATCTAACGTCTACGAAATTGGATTGCAAAGATATAGGTATTAGAAAATCAAAGTTTGTGACAAAGACTCAATTCCTCTGTAAAATTATAAAGATTAACGAATGTGTCAAAAAAGTTAGATCTTAGATGGATGACCGCCTGGGTATACTTAGAGCTGTAGCCTGTAGAGTTTAGAGTGCATAACAGGGAATAGGAATAAAGGGAAGGGAAATGGGGCTGACCTGGCATGAGAAAGCCAGTCGCACCGCTTTGCAGACGAGTGCGTTATCACACGCGCACATTCTTTTGCTACAGACACACAACATGACTTATACAGTCATGGAAATTGCAGAACCATGTCGTCAATTATTAGAAGCTTGAATAAAGAGAAGTTTATTGTAAACTTTGATTAAATTATATTCTTTGCATGAAAATTTGGCTTACAAGTGTTGACTTAAATATATAAATAATATATTGCATGCATTTTAAACTTATTTTTAAGTAAACAATTAACAATAAACAAATGTACTCTCCTAGACTGTACAAATACAATTCCATTACACTCTTGTTAGATTTTCTCTCAGAGCCGGAACCAAACCATTACCAAACCTTACCCTCTCAGATAGTATAAACAACCAAGAAACAACGGTTTAAGAGAAAATCAATTGTGTCCATTGGATTAAGTAATCGGGATTAAGGATATCTCATTCTAAAGTTTTCAGCTCTGAACTTATAAGTATGTATTTACTTTGTCCTAGACCTAACAAAGCTTAAACTTTTGCCTAGACTTAGTTCTAACCCCCTGATCTCCGATATGGGTATTATAATGTAATCAGTGTTCTGTATCGTACATATATCAATCTCTTTTATGGTGTGCACGTATCTATCTTCTTTGTCTATAACATTACTAAAATACATATTCCTAATCAATTTATATTATTATACCCTATAATTTTTCTCCTATAATCATCTTATGAAATCTTTTTTGGTTTGTTTT